AAAGTATGCTCGGGAGGGGCATTTTCTAAGCTTTGTTTCCATGCATGGCTAAAGTTCACAAGCTTGTGATACTCAATATAGAGTTTTAGCGGGTAATGCTTTGCTGTGCTTGCTTTATCTATTAAAGCAACCAGTGTTTTTTGAGTTCACATTCTGTTCAAGGATTTAACTAGGCACCAAGGACAGAGAGATAAATGGATGTCACCCTTATCTTCTAGGAACTCATAGTCTAATACAAATAAAATTTTATTTTTTCTTTTGGGATCATTACCTTGAGGAATGCTGTTTAAAATGGTAATAGAAGGTCAAAGAGAATGATCAGATTTTAAATTCATATTATAATTTCCCTGATTATCTTCTAGAGAGATTGAATAATCAGTTTATATGGTCAGTGTCTTAGTTATCTAGTGCTGCGATAACAGAAGTACCACAAGTGGGTAGCCTTGACAAATAGAAATTTATTTTCTCACAGTTTAGGAGGCTAGAAGTCCAAATTCACAGCACCAGCTCTAGATGAAGCCTTTTTCTGTCAGCTCTGGAGGAAGGTCCTTGTCTTTTTGAGTTTCCTCTCCTGGGCCATCTTCATGTAGCTTGGCATGTGTCTTTCTCCATCTCTGCTTTCTTAATCAGCTCCTTTTATATTTTGTAAGAGATTGACTCAAGACACACCCTAGGCTAATCCTGCCTCATTAACATAACAAAGACAACTCATTCCCAAATAGGATTATAACCACAGGCACCAAAAAAAAAAAAACCCACTGCCATTGAGTCAATTCTGGCTCATAGCGACCAACCATGTAGGACAGAATAGAACTGTCCCATAGGATTTCCAAGGAGCGGCTGGTGGACTCGAACTGCCGACCTTTTGGTTTGCAGCCATAGCTCTTAACCACTGTGCCACCAGGGCTCCAACATATATTTTTGAGGGATACAGTTCAATCCATGACAGTCAGTCTCAAATCCAAGGGCCCATACATTTTGGGCTTCATCATTTTTATTCATATTTAATGCTATAGTGGACATATAATCGTACTTTGTTGGCCTTTCAGTTGTGTTTTTTAAATAAGATTGTGCATTTTTCATATTATTTACCAACTTCTTCCTTATGAAATCTCGATTCACTTGCTTTGAGCATTGAACATGTGAAATCTGGGTATTTACCTATGTATTTTTGTCCATTCTTAATATATTTGTGATGTAAGCTTTTTTGGGGGGATATTACGTCTCACATACTTTGGACATGTTATCAGGAGGAATCAATCCCTGGAGAAGGACATCATGTTTGGTAAAGTAGAAGGTCAGCAAAAAAGAGGAAGACCCTCAACAAGATGGACACAGTGGTTGCAACAATGGGCTTAAGCACAGCGACGATTGTGAAGTGGTGCAGGACTGGGCAGTGTTTCATTCTGTTGTACATAGGGTCGCTATGAGTTGGAGCCAACTTGACAGCACCTAACAACAACAAATTACTTTTAAAATGTATTTACTTATTTTATAACAGCTTTATTGGGATATATTCACATACCATACACTTTACCCGTTTGAAGTGTATAATTTGGTGGTGTTTTGTAATTCACAGAGTTGTGCAACCATCACCACAGTCAATTTTAGAACATTTTTATCATCCCAGAAAGAAACCCCATACCCATTATTATTTACTCCCTGTCCTCCCTGCCCCCCACATCCCTACATTTAGGTCTGTAATCCATTTTGAGTTAATTTTTATCTATAGGTATGAGGTGTAGGGGTTACAAGCTTTTAACACTTAAATTTTTCCTTGTATTTTCCTACACTGTTATTGTGTTTATATACACATTTTTAAAATTTCACATTCAAACCATCCATCTTATCACTGATGCTATTCTGTATTTCCCCAGTTCTCAGAAATGTATCTCCTCTCCAGAGCTGACATAAAGGGGCTATATTTGTTTCTAGTTTTAACATTTTTCTCTTTTGAGCTTTTTGAAATTTATTACCTTGAATGGTACACAGTATCAGTGTAGTGATTTTTCACCATGTTGAATTATTTCTGGGTCAAAAACCAAAACCAAACCCATTGCTGTCAAGTTGACTCCGACTCATAGTGACCCTACAGGACAGAGGAGAACTGCCTATAGGGTTTCCAAGGCTGTAAATCTTTACGGAAGCAGACTGCCACATCTTTCTCCCACAGCATGGCTCATGGGTTCAAACCAACGACCTTTTGGTTAGGAGTCAAACGCTTAACCACCACGCCACTAGGGCTCCTTCTATTTCTGGGTAGCCAGCTAATGTTTTAAAGGATTTTCTAGAATCTCTATTCAGTTTCATTGGTAGAGACCTCACCATGCAGTTTTGATTATTGCCTCTGTCTGATAGGAGCAGATTAAGATTGTGATCTTTAGAAGAGAGAGAGAGAGCATATGTGCATGTCGTTTACTTTCATTCTTGCAGCAGTGTCTATAGTATATTTTTTTTATTACATTTAATAATCTTTTCATAGCTTAACATTTTAAAACAATCAGGAATGGCTATGGGTTTTATTCAGTGTGGATTTTCACATCTTTCTTTTTCTTCCTTATTGTTATATCTCTCTGCTGACCCTTCTTAGTATTACCCATGTACTTCCTAGAAGACATCCTGTCTCTACTTCTAATCTGTGTGGGTCAGGACATCGTCTGTTCAGACAGAGCTTAAATTGGCTCTAGGTGAGGGCCTGAGGGACTTCTTGATGGAAAATGTGCACGAAGCTTTGTACTTGGACTTGGTCACATGCATTTTGTCTCCATGGAAGCAGTTTTTCATATTTTCCTGATCCTTGTTGAAATTTGAGAACATTATAAATGGCAGAGAGGTGATTTTAAGATAAGTGAGGTCCTCATGCATTATGCAGAGTTCCTGACAGTATTTGGTAAATGAATGAAAATAAATGATAGAGCTTAACTGTGGAGCTCTGAGGGAGCTGTTTCTGCTCCACATTTCTGTTGTTTATAATGACAGTAAACACCTCATCCCATCACTATGTAATCTTCTTCAGAAAAGACCACTGAGTCTTAGAGCGAAAAAATAATTTAAAAACCACAGACAAATAAAAAATAGCTTAGGACTAGCTTGTGGTTTTTGAGCGGTAGGAAATAGAAGTTTCAACTTACCCAGTTGTGTAGATATACAGAGAACATGTTTTTGAAGGTTAATATAGAGGGAGTCTTCAGTATCAGGTTTCATATTAGAATCCTTACAGGCACAAAGTTGAAGAGAAGGAAAATAAGCCATCATAAAAAGGGGAAAAATCACCAAAGAAACAATCCATTTATAAAATCATTGTAGTTAGATGCCATCAAGTCAGCTCCCGACACACAAGGGATTGGACTATTGTGATCCATAGGGTTTTCATTGGTTGATTTTCGGAAGTAGATTGCCAGGCCTTTCTTCTAGTCTGTGTTGGTCTGGAAGCTCCGTTAAAACCTGTTCAGCATCACAGCAATATGCAAGCCTCCACTGACAGACGGGTGGTGGCTGTGCTTGGCTGGGAATCGAACCCCTGTCTCCTGCATGGAAGGCGAGAATTCTACCACTAAACCATCACTGCCTTCCTCTGAAAAACTAGTCATCATCAAATATCCAAACTGAACAATTACTCGTTCCTGTTCATGGTCCTTGCTTTTCCTCATCTGTACCTGTCCTTAAGTACTATGTCCTACCTGGAATGCCTGTATGTTCATTTACTCACTGTAAAAATGGAAGCATGGGGGCATCTGACCTCCTCTAAGTTCTCAAAGCAGAAGGAGAATCAAGATCAACAGCCCAAGGCTGATTCCTATGAGGTGAAGGTCAGACATACCTCCTCTTTCCAACCTTTTTACCAGTTCTAACACCAGCCGTCCTCCCGTAGCACTCTCTACTTCTCTGCTGGGTTTGATAATTTTTTGCAGTGGCCACACAGAACTCACAGAGCATACTCATGATTATGGGGTTTATTAGGGAGTAACAGGTTATAATTCAGGATCAGGAATGACTCAGGATACAGTTCTTTAGCTGTACCAATAAGTGCCTGGAGGTACCCCACTCTACCTGTAAGCCTCCTTCCTGAAGGCTCTCAGCTCTCTTGCTCCATGGGATGGCACACCCACTCTAGCTGCCTTGCTTCGTGGGCTGGGAAGCCCACCTGCGCTGTCTTGCACTGGTCTCCTGGTTCTGCTGCTGTCCTTTCTCTGCCGCTGGATTCTCCTGTGCTTGCCACCACTTCTTGCTGTCTCCGGTGTTACAGTTGTCTCTGCCTCCTGGGTCTAGGAGTTTCTCAGCACAGGAACCCTGACCTGCTCCAATCCCAGCTATTCTTCTTGGTGGTAGTGAGGTCCCATCTTTCCACCTCTGGAATGGCTCATTTTAAGCCTAGCGCCATGGCAAAACTGACCAATCCCCTTGTTAGGGTTCTGTATGCCTTGTTTGCATGGTCCTACTCCCACAAGGGTGCCATGAACCTTGTTTGCATTATTAGCAAGCTATCCAATCCTCTTGGTGGTCCAGAGTACCTTACTTGCATAGTCACACTCAATCATTTGATTCAAGTTACAAGACCATGGCAAGAAAGACCATACAAAAGCGATCCATTGCACCGTATACACTCACTTACTAGCTCACTCACTCAGCAGCAGTTAGTGGATATCTTCTGTGCACCAAGATCTGGACTGTGTAGGTATACCCTAGACATCTCTCAAGGTGGAGCTCAAATGTCACCTCTTCCAGGTAGCAGACACTTCCCTGATTCCTTATCCCCTGCCCTGCAAAGTTAAAACTGGTTTCCCCCTTCTCTGAGTGCTCATGACTTCTCTTTTAGAGCATGGTGCTATGTTCTACTTAGCGTTTTCCCTAGCGGTGCTTGTGTCTTATCCCTCTCAAGAGGATAGTTGGTGTCTGCTCGGCTTTGCATCCTCCCCTTCCAGAATGCCTAAGGCTGACCCTGTTGTGGCCAGTGACTGGAATCCTCCCTCTTTCTTTTTCATACACTCCTTCTCTTCCAGGGCTAAAGTCGCTGCAGCTGATGTGTCCCCCGGGAACCCAACCCAGACTCTCACCTCTGTGAGGCACACAGTAAAGATAGACAAAGATGCCCTCCTCCAGGACTATGGATTTCACATTTCCGAGAGCCTTCCACTCACAGTGGTGGCTGTCACGGCAGGTAGGGGTTGACTGGGAAAGGAGAAAAGAGTTGACTTCTTGTGGGGAAACAGCACTGGTTCTCTGTCCTTTAACAAAATGCAGAAAATGCTACCCCAGTAAGTTAGAAAGGACACACTTAATTCTGACCTAATTCTATTTTGGGCTTTGTACCTTCCTTTGGTGCTGGGAGAGAGGGAGCCCCAAGTGCACCTGCTGCTCTGAAACCCAGACTTCCACTGGCCTCAGCTTGAGCTTTGCCTACCCACAACACCTGGACCAGTCTCTGGGCTAGTGAAAGTATTTGGATCAGCCGGCCCTCCTCTTTGAACCCTGCATGCTTCAAGCTGGGGAGAGTCTCTGGTCAGCTGGTAATAGAAACTATTGATTTGGTTTAACTTGAGTCTTTGTGAAATAGAGGCTGTGCCAGGGTGGAGAGGAGCAGGCTGGGAATGTGTAGTGTTTGTTTTCATACTTCAGCTATGTATTGATGTTAAATCTGAGACTAGTTAAAATCTGTTCATTTCAATTTATGTACACACACAGACCAGAGTTCTTTCGAGATGAATGTGATAGCTTCACTGGCCAGCTCTGTTGATTTAGAGCGTTTCTGCTAGTCTTTCCCAGGACATTCTTTTAACATCCCTTGAAGTTGATGGATGGTGGGTACATTATCCATGATTTATAAACGGGAAAAATGAGATCCACGTGAGCTCAGGGTGGACTAGGGAGTGGGGTGGAGGGTGAGTCAGTGTCCTGGGGACTGGATCAGGCTGTCATTTAGGTGTGCTGCTGTGACACATGGGGTCTGAACCCTCCTGGCGTGAGCAACAATTATTGCTTTTCTGTCCAACAGGAGGCAACGCTCATGGCAAGCTTTTCCCTGGTGACCAGATTCTCCAAATGAACAACGAGCCTGCTGACGACCTATCCTGTGAACGAGCAATTGATATTCTAAGGTACTAAATTGTCTTTTCTCATCCACAGAACTGCACAAATTATCACAGAGCAAAGATGGGCAACAGGAATGGCGTAACTGACCTCTCTGTGATTTTAATAAGCAAGAAAAGCCTCATTTTAGAATTCCAACTCTGTCTATGAAGATGGCTTCTCTGTGGTGACGGCTATTATTTGCTGTCTTTCCCTTCCTACAGGAGAGCTTGGGAAGCATCAGAGTGCTATATGTACTGAACCCCTGCTATGCCTAAAGCACTGTGCTAGGCACTGTGGGGAATATAATGATGAATAATGCGTGTCTTACCTTCTAAAGATTTATAGGGTTGTTGTAATAGATGCCAAAGATTGAATAAACTGATACCATATTTGCCTGCTCTTCTTTAACCCTTTTGATATTGCTTCTTAAATGTTTTTGTAGACGTAGCCTACATTGATATAGCATCTGTCACCTTCTACCTGGTTTCATTGTGATTTGTGTCAATACTTTCTGCTTAGGCCGTGATCTCCTTGAGACGAAGGCCTGGACCCAGAGTTCATCCATGTTTTAACATGTATCAGAATTTCATTCCTTTTAATGGCTAAATAATATTCCATTGTATATGCCACATTTTGTTTATCCATTCATCTATTGGTAAACACCTGGGTTATTTCCACCTTTTGGCTATCGTGAATAATGCTGCAGTGAACAGTGGTGTAGGTAACATTTAACTCCTGACTGTTCACTGAGCACCTACTCTGGGCAAGAAACCCTCTGGGGCAAATGGACTTCACCTCTCAGAAACTTATAGGCTGGTAGTGCAGACACAATTTGTGTATACCCCTCTAAGATTGAGGGCAGACACTGCATCAAGAAAAGCAAAAGAAATGGGCTGTAAAAGCTGAAGATTCCTCCAGCTTAGGGGATAGTATGGTTGACAAAATAGGGAAGGGCCCAGAAGTATTTCAGCTGTACTTTAAATGCCAGGTACAATTTGGCTTCATGTAGATGGAGGTGAAGAGTGATTCAGGCAAAGTGTTAATAAGTAGCAAAGGCAGGAACCGGGAGGAACAGCAGGGTAGGGAGTAGGGGCATTGCTGAGCAGTTCAGTTTCCCCAGACCTGGAGAAAAGTTTTGGGAAATGAGGCCCAGATAGTTGAGGGTCTTGAATGCCAAAACAGCAGGCTCAGATAGTATTCTCCTCCGGGAAGGGTGAGCTATTGAAGGCTGCTGAGCAGGGGCATGACTTGAAGTGTGCTGTGCATCTGTGCCTTCTGCCATATGCCATGTGTGAGAATCCCAGGACTGCTTATATTTTAGCTTGGTTCCCAGTGTCTAAAAGCAGCATGTATTATTATTCATTGCCACTTGTAAAGGGGGGAAGGGGCAAAACAAAATGATACAACAACAATACCAACAAAACCTCTCTAAATCTTCCAAATATCTATAAGGCCAACATGCCCTTTTGATAGCACTTAGATCTTGGTTTATTGTGAATTATCTCAGAAAAGACCTGGTCTTATATAAAATGGAAAAGAGGCAATCCTCAGACACTTAGAAACCTTGGATTGAGTTTATCCACTTGAGAAAATAACACACCGGCAGTAATCAATCGGCCTAAGTGTTCATATTGCAAGAAGTCAAATGAAATTATTTTGCAAACTACTTATCTATGTAGCAATGGCAAAGAAAAAGGAAAATATAAATCTATTTCTTAGTCCTGTCTGCTAATACAAAATGGTTTGGCAATTACTGGTTGATTTGATCACTTTTAGAATCTTAAACATAATATAAGATGAAAAATGTCTAGTATCACAACTGGACTCATTACACTGACTTTGTGCACCCAGAGACCATAAAATGGTTGGCTTTTATCTGGTAAATGTTATCCACAGACATTTATTCTAGATAATGAAGTGTTTAGCCCAAGTTTTCTGAAATAGCAACCTAAATTATTTGTGTTATTTGTATGCTTCTTCTTAAAATGTTTTTTGGATGTTAGCTAGTGATCATGTCAACTAGATGAGTTCTCCATCATATGAGACTAAATTAAGGCCAAGTGCCTTTACTTGGTAGCACAGGTATCAACCAGATGATAGAGATGGGTATCTAAGGATTTCCTCCAGGTAGAAGAAACACTCCTGGGACACCGTAAGCTCCTTTGCAGATTACTGCTTTCCCACATGTCCTTCTCGATTTTGCTGAGCCAGAGAAGTTGAAGTGAAAGAGGCATCTTCGTGATTCTTCTAGTTGTTTTGGCCCCTGATACACACACACACACACACACACACACACACACACACACACGCATGTGCACACACACACACACACACACACCACCCAGAATGACTAAATACTTTTATCTTTCTTTTTCTTTTTTTTTCAGGGAAGCTGAAGATTCTGTTTCAATCACAGTTGTTCGCTGCATGTCGGTAAATGTCTATGTCCTGTATATTAGTTTCACCCTTCTCTGGGCACAAGGCAGAAGGTGACAGCTGCCAGGGAGTGGGCTGCCAGTCATTGTTGCCTGAGGACCTGCTATGCGCAGGCGCTGTGGAGGAAACAGACATGGGTCCAGGCCTCAAGGACTCATAATCCAGCTAAGGAGACGGACCTATGATTATGCAGAGTGGGACAATGAAAAGGGCACCAGACTAGGAGTTTCAAAACAGAGCTGAGTGGTAAGACTTTGGGCAAGTCATTGATGATAATTGCCTGGTCTATCTAACAGGTTTTTATGAGCATCAAATGAGGTGTTGGATGTGAAAGTGTTTTGTAAGTTCTGAGGATCATTGTGGTTCAAAGCATAGAGGATGCATGGGAAGAAAATAGCAATCCTAAACCACCATGGGCCAAGGAACCCTTTATATATTATATAGGAAAAAGTATATAATCAAAGTATAGGAGGAAAAACTACTAAGAAAGAAAAGTTGACAGAAAATTCTCATTGGGAGAGACTTTTGGCCACAAGTAGGCAAAAAAATAAATAAGTGCATAGAGAATTTTAATAATGCATTTAATAATCTGATCTAATTAACCATGTACCAGGCTACCAAGAAAACTCTGTATGTTACCAAAATAAACTGTACAGATCTCATTTTCTGAATGTAATAAAATAGAAATTAGTAACTATCAAAAATTTAACTAAAACCATTCATTCATTTGGAAATAAAAATGTAATCTTCTAAGTAAATATGGAGTCAAATAGAAAAATAAAACTACTGTTGTCTTAGTTATCTAGTGCTGCTATAACAAGAATGCCACAAGTGGATGGCTTTAACAAACAGAAATTTATTCTCTCAAAGTTTAGGAGGCTAGAAGTCCAAATTCAGGGCATCAGCTTCAGGGGAAGGCTTTCTCTTTCTGTCAGTTCTAGGAGAAGGTCCTGGGGGAAGGTCCTGGTCATCTATCTTCCCCTGATCTAGGAGTTTCTCAGCACAGGGACCTCGGGTCCAAAGGACATGCTTCGCTCCCGGCACTTCTTTCTTGGTGGCATGAAATCCTACTCCTCGCTGGAGTCTCCCTTTTGTATCTCAGGAGAGATTGACTCAAGATACAACCTAATCCTGGAGACTGAGTCCTGCCTCATTAACATAACTGCCTCTAATCCTGCCTTATTAACATCATAAAGGTAGGATTTACAACACATAGGATAATCACATCAGATGACAAAATGGTGGACAGCCGCACAATGCTGGAAATCATGGCCTAGCCAAGTTGACACACATTTTTGGGGGACACAATTCATAACATTTTAGACAGTTTGGAAAATAAAGATTAAAACTCTACTTAAAACTTATATGCAGTTGAAGCTATACTCAGAGTAACGTTCATAGCCTTAAGTGTTTTCATTATTTAATAAGGAAGTAGGTCAATTAAATATTCAGTGCAAGAACTTGAAAGAAAAGGATAATAAGACAAACATAAAGCAGAATATGGAAAATAATAAAAATTAAAATCTACATAATGTTTTGGAAAACAGAAAAATTGTAAAAATTGCTAAATAAATCCAAGAGTTGATTTTTAAAAAGAGAAATAAACAATGTTAAAATAGTAAAACCTTAAGGAAAAGAAATATGTGGGGCCTATTTGAAGGAGACTGAAATATTACTAACAGATGTAAAAACATAGTTGAATATGAAAGGAAATTCATGCCATGCTTCTTGATGGGCAGACTAAGTATTATTAATATGTCAGTTATTCTCATATTAATTTATAGGCTGAATTAAACTTCAGACAAAATCCCTATGAGGTTTTTATTTGGATTTTCATGAAATGTATCAGGGTGAGACTTATTAAGAAAATCTTTTTTAAAAAGAGTAATGAAGATGGACTTGCTGTACCAGATTTTAAAATTAATAAAGCTACAATAATTAAAATAGTATGATATTGGTGAAATGTTGAACATATGAATGGAATCAAATAGAAAGTCCAAGAATAGATACAAGAATAAGAATTTAGTATGTGAGAAACGTGGCATCCCAATCAGTGGGAGAAAAGATGATTTCAGGAAACACACTGGGACCTTTCTTTAAATATCTGGAAAAACTAAAATTACCGTTTGGTGTTAAATAATTAATTATAAAATTAAAAAACATACCATAAAAATGTAGACAATACAGTTGGATACCTATCTGATCATATTTGTAGAAAGACTTCCTAAGCATTTAGGAAGCAGGAAGAAGCAGAATGGAACATGGCTGTTTGATTATACAAAAATATAAAATTTCTGTGGTCCAAAAAATTCACAACCCTAAAAAGCAAAGAAATCTCTCCTTATTTGACAAGCATTATCTTTTTATTTATTGGAAGTAAGTGTAGGAAAAAAGGAAAAAACTAATTAGGATTAAGATATTTGCCATAAATATGACAGCCTCAGTGTTTTATATACAAATAAATGGAAGTTTTTCTATTCCAAATAGAGTTTGTCTGAAATAATGTGAGACCAATATAAAACCAGAGAAAGCTAATCAGTATAAATGGTCATGTAAGTGTTAAGACATTCTTTTATTTAGCTGACTGTCATCTCAGCGGAGAACATCTTTATCTTAATTAGGTGGTTTTTTCCTACTCCCAAGAAATGAAAGCAAAAGATAATACTTGCTAAGTAAGGAAAGAGGAAAACAGCATATAGCTATATCCTTTAAGAACATGAAAAGTATATAGAGAGGAAATTATTACATCCCAGAACGCTTCCTGAGATTTCCACAGGGTCCCCCTTCGCCCCCGAAAAAAAACAAACCTGTTACTGTCCAGTCGATTCCGACTCATGGGGACCCCATGTGTTACAGACTAGAACTGCTCTGTAGTGTTCTCTTGGCTGTAATCTTTATGGAAGCCGTGTGTCAGGAAGATCGGAATGTTACTGCTGTGCTCTGGCGATCCCACAGGGGAAGCTGATATTAGCCCAGTTTATGGACATCTGGGCCTCTGAGAAATGCCCTGAATATTGTCTAGTCCACTCCTGGGCCTCTCACCAGAAGCATCCTGAAGCATTTTACAGACATTGCAAAATGATCATATATGTCTTGCTGCAACAAGGAGGTTCCTTTTGACATAAGTGGATTCTTAGAGTCTTCAAATGACTTGAAATTGATTAGGAAGTATAAAATGCAAGGTTGGTATCTTAGTTATCTAGCACAGCTATAACAGAAATACCACAAATATATGGCTTTAACAAGCAGAAATTTATTCTCTCACAGTTTAGGGGGTTAGAAGTCCAAATTCAGAGTGCTGGCTTTAGGGCAAGTGTTTCTGTCAGCTCTGGAGGAAGATCTTTGTCTTCTTTCAATATCTGTAGGCCTGGCTTCCTTAGATATCTACATGTATCTTGGCATCAGTCTTCCCCTGGGTCAAGGAGATTCTCAGCTCAGGGACCCAGAGTCCAAAAAATGTGCTCTGCTCCCAGCTGTTCTTTCTTGTTGGTAGTCAGGTCTCTCGATCTCTGCTCGCTTGTTTAATCTCTTCTATATCTCAAAACAGATTGACTCAAGATACAACCTAATTCTATAGATTATGTCCTGCCTCATTGACATCATAGAAGTTGGGATTTACAACACATAGGATAATTACATCAGATTACAAAATAGCCTAAACCAATTTGACACATATTTTTTGAGGACACAATTCAATCCATAACAGTTGGAATATTAATTACTGCTTTTCTAGGACATAGAATTTTAAGGGAAAGTTTATTTTGGTTTAATGGTGAGGCTCTGTATTATTTAAATTAATTATTTATAATATATTAATTATTTGTAATAATATTAATACTAATACTTAACGTCTTATTTAATTTTCACCACAAAAATCCTCCATGACAGATAGGTTTGTTATACCCCATTTACAGATGAGGGCACCATGGCCTTACACACCCACAGCCTCACATGAAAAATGTAGTGGAGCTGGGATTGTTTTCCAGGTAGTTGGGCTCCAGGATTTACACTCATTAACATTATGCTATTCTACCTCCTTAAACCCTACTGTCTTCATAAAATGACATTGGGTAACCCAGGGTTGGGGAAATACTGTAAAAATGTATGGAAATGTTAAGGAGCACTGGTAGTGCAGTGGTTAAAGCACTCGGCTACTAACTGAAAGGTTGGTGGTTCAGACCCGCCAGCCACTCTGCAGGAGAAAGATGTGCAATCTGCTTCTGTAAAGATTACTGGCTTGGAAACCTTCTGGGGCAGTTCTGCTCTGTCGTACAAGGTTGCTATGAGTTGGAATTGACTCAGTGGCATACCACAACAGCAATAGAAATGTTCTTCGATTTGTCCCTTTCAGTGCCCTTCTAAGCGTTAACTTAGTTCAGCAAAAACATGCACAGAGAGTTTTTATCAGCTCAGGTCTGCTGCTCTCTGATGAACTAAGTTAGAACCCATGGAGATCTTAGAAGCCCTAGAATAACAGGTAACTAATATCTCCTTAAACTGCCTCTCAAATACTAGGTGGCTCAAGTGGATTTATACAGTTTGATTATGATATGTTTTAGATGTCAGGATACATGGTAGCAGAACTGACATTCAGGTCTAAAAGTGTAAGAACCAGAGTGGGGCCTGTGTGTTGGAATTTCCATGACAGAGCTCATTCTTTCTCAAAGCAGCCAGTTTCATGATCTGGTGGTATTAAATGTAAGAGAGACTTTTCTTGCCTGTGACTCCCACCAAGTAATCCTAGTTCAAAACAAGTCTACCTTGTATGTAACAGCTCTTCAGAGATTTCGGAGTGTGGACTTCTCTTCTCTAGGCCAAACAATTGTTCCATCAACTTTTCCTCATAAGATGTATTTTCCTGAGTTCTCACTTCTCTGATAGCTTTCTGAACAGATTCCAATTTCTTGATGACCCTCCCAAATGATGGCACTCAGAAATGAGCACAGTTCATCTAGACAACCAGTGCCAAGTACCACTGGGCAGGTAGGAGGGTGCACTTCCAGCATGCACCAAGAGTGCTAAGGAAGCCCAAGACTGGGTTAACATTCTGGCAGGGCCTATGACACTGTTGGCTTAGATTAAACTTGTGGTTGAGTGAAAACTGAGCTGGTTTTCAAATGAATAGCTTCCAAGCCAGGTTTCCCCAGTCCAGTGCTTATAGAATTGATTTTTTGATCCTCAGTGCCATACTTCACATTAATCCCTGTCAAATTGTGTTACTTTGGCCCAGTGTTCTTGCATGCTGAGATTTTACAGTCAGGGAATTGTGGGGCTGAAAACCACGTTTGTATAGTTATCAGCTGTAGTTATTCTCCCTGTCAGGGAACCACCTCTTCCCAAGTCTGCCCCACTTCCTTGCCTTCTTGCCACTCTCAGCCTCCTCCAGTTGATTTTCTTTAGCATGATCCATCTTTGGGCCTAACTCCTGCAGAATTGCTCTACCTGATGTGAGAGACAACAGCTCCTGCCTCCTGCATTCTTTTTCTTTCTGCCTCTCTTCTCTGTCCTGTCATGATTTCTCATTCTTTTGAGTCTTTTGGGTGGTGATGGTTGTACCAGTTGCTTTGGCGCCTCACTTCATTCTGTTCCTTTCAGCTCTTGACAGCCCCGCCAAGTTACACCTTTTTATGTTTGTTCTGGTGATTTCCTGGCCTCTGACAAGGTCCGCAAGTTTCCTGTGCACACCTCTTTTAGAGTCTCAGTTCCTTGATCTTTTCTCTCAAATTTCTGCTGCCTGAGATCTGATGACACTTTGCAGCTCTGTGTCATTCACGGATTTGGTAAGTTCACTTTCTCTGACTTCACTCAAGCCATTGCTAAACATCATTGAAGAGGACTGAGAGAAAGGAAGCCAACTTTGCTTAATTAGAATTCAATAATGTTTTAAGCATAGGTCATCTAGTTTTGAATCCACCTAATGGCTCTGCATCTTGCCTTTTCCACAGAAGTATTGTAAGAGACCTTATGAAATGCTTTGCAAGAACGAAAGAATACTACTGTATCCACAGGACTACCAGTCTGGAATCCTGTCTTCAAAAGAAAAATGAACTTGGTTGGCTCTGACTTGTTCTTAAATCCATATTGGCTGTTAGTAAGCATTATCTTCTTGTCTAAAATCTTTCTGACCATCTCTTGTCTTGGATTTTGCCAAGAATTTACAACAAGCTTACGGATATGTGTTTTCCTGAATCCTCCTTTTCAATTTACTGGGAAAATTGATACTTGACCATCTTTGTTGTTGTGGTGGTGGTGGTGATGTGCCGTCAAATTGGTTCTGACTCATAGTGACCCTATAGGACAGTATAGAACTGCCCCATATGGTTTCCAAGGAGCGGCTGGTGGATTCAAACTGCCAACCTTTTGGTTAGCAGCCTGAGCTCTTAACCACTTTGCCACCACAGCTCCTGACCATCTTTAGTCTCCTAATATTTCTTCCATTCTCTGTTTTGTGGGTGATGTCAACTGTCACATATCACAGGTCCACCAGCCCCCTAGATCCAGCTGGTGTAGGAATCTTGAAGTCATTCATATCTGTCTGATAGTCTCATCACTAATTTTATAACCTTCCTTCCCTTGTTGCTTCTACCCTTTCTGGTTGGAAAACCATTCTACTTGAAGAAGAAAGCAAAATGAAGGTTGAGAAATTTCTCCAGTTGGAGGATTACCACATAGATGTACCTCTTCTCTGGGAATATTGCTATTCCCTCTTCCCCTTTTACTAAATATCCTTTTTTTTTTTTTTTTTTTATATTTGAGCTCTTGAATCATAGTTAGGAGTCTGAGCTACCTATAAGATCACGTTTATCTTCTTGCATTAAAATTTCATAGTCACTTGTTCATTTCATGTACTTCATGGTATTAGCCTGTCAGCATTCAAGTCTATAAGTGTTGTTTCCATCAGTTATGTATTTCTTCCTTTGGTTACACAGAACATATAGCTCAGAGCTCCATCTCAGAACTCTTACACATGTAAACATTCTAAAGGCTGGCCTAAAAGACTGTCCAGATCAAGAGAACGTGGGATGCTAGTCTGGGAAACATTATATCAGGATTTCATCCAGGAAAATCATGTCCTTTTGGTCTAGATCATGCAAGATGCTGTTTGATGCATTTATCAAGTGTCACAACTTGGCCCAGTACCATATACTTGTATCAGCTTATGATGATTCTTCTTACCTCTGGGGAAAGAGGGTGCCACCCAGAAGACTAGAAGAGCAAAGAGGAGCCAAGGATAAATCACAGGGGTCAGAGCTTTAAGGATCCTGTAGGTATTCTTGTCTAACTCCCACATTGTACAGATAGGAAGACTGAAGCCTAGAGAAGAAGGGCAATGACTTGGCCAAAGTGTGTCACATGGAGTTTTTATACAAACAGAGACACACCCACACAAACTTTGTTTTGCTTCCATAAGAATCTGTGTTTGAGGTAGTTAATACAGCTGTTGAGTGGCAGAACTTGGGTTGGAATTCAGGTCTTTTTGTTTGCAGGCAAGTTCTCTTTATCTTCTTCATCATAGCACAACCATTTTGCCACCATACTGAATCTTCAACTGTTCTCAGGCGCATAAGAACATTGTGTGGGCTGGGATCCCTAGATTTTATGAAAAGAGATCTTTTATGGGGCGTTGTCCTCTCCTGTTGGTTTTAATTGAATCTGCAACAGCTATCAGAGTTTTTGTTTTTAAGAAATGAGAAGGCAGACGAGCCTCTATGAAAGTATTGTTCTACAATGTATTATGTTTACTGTTTTGCAGGGAGTCCCCAAGTCATCCTTCCTGACTGAGGAAAAGAGAGCCAGGCTGAAGACCAACCCTGTGAAGGTGCACTTTGCTGAGGAAGTGCTCATCAGTGGACACAGTCAGGTCCGTCACTAGTCAGGGGATTGAAGTACTCTTCGTGACTGACGCTGGGGGAGCTGCCTCCTGGCACATAACTCCCTGAGACTCTGGAGTCCGGCAGCACAGGAAAGGACACAGAGGGAGCATGGTGACATTTGCCAGAGACTTTGTGCACCTCTCAGTAAGACGTGTGCAGACCATGGACAGGGAGAGGTGGGTGGGGTCTCTGGTCTCTGGTGGTGGCCAGGGAAAGAAGCACTGGGTGTGGTTCTCTATTACTCTGTGAATCCGTTCTCCTACCTATGAAATTTTGACAGACTCTAATTGGTAATTTGTCGTTATGCATCTTTGAGCTTAGCATTTGGGCTGTTGTTTTTTTCTGAAGTTCATATATTAGTAAAGGTATTGGGGAATTGTTTTTTTTAAAGAGACCATCATCTATTGAACCTCTGTTATGTGTACCTAAACTTTATGTGTACATAATCCTTAGTCATTATAATAGCGCTGCAAGGTTGGTATCTTAACAGACGAGGAAGCAGAGGCTGAGAAAGGTTAATAAAATTAACCTCTATGATCACATAGCAAGAAAGTACAGGAGCCCAGGTCTGTGTGACTTCAGTTGCAGAGACAGTGAAACCAGTAGGACTTAATCATTGTGCCCTACCTATTCATATCTTCAGATGTTTACAAGATGATAAAATTGGTTGTAAAACTTTCCACCTTGAAACAGAATGAGACCTCTGCAGGAATACACAGTCACCCTTGAAGAAACTGGGATAGTAAACCAACATTTAAAATATGTTTACTCTTGCTAATAGTTAAAGAAATACAAAGGAAAATACTAAGAACTGTGACTTTACACTTATTAAATGAGCACAAATAAAAAAATGTGAGCCCTGATGCTGAGGAAGTGGCCACATTCATGCATTAACTGGTGGCTTTGTGAATCGGTTTAATCTTTTTGGGGAGGGTATGATGTCTAGACTGCTCTAGCGAATTCTGTCAACTATGTCAATTGTGAAAATCAGTCCAGGGAGACTAAGATCATCCACTTCTGACACCAAATTGTGTGGTAGATAACAAATTCCACTCCACACACCAGATGTGTCCTGTGGAAATCTTAGCTTCCCTTCTCTGTTTAGTTCAGACCCCAGTTGCTCATGCAGCCCTTCTCTCTCTCATCCCTAGCCACCCAAGGCTAGGTCAGCAGGTACCAGCTGCAAGCTTGGGAGCCCCTAGGACTCTGTCCACTTCTGACCACCCGGCCCCTTTTCTTTCTCATCCCTATCCATCAGTGGGTACCAGCTGCAAGCTTGGGAGCCCATAAGACTCTGTCCACTTCTGACCAGCCGGCCC